TTTTTTTTTTTTTTTGCATCTTGACTAAATATTTTGTTCCTATGGGAGGATATTATGATTTTATCAAATCAGTTCTGTTTAATGTTTATTTATTTTATGAGGTTTGAATAAAGTGCAACAGCGCCACCTAGTGTGAGTAATAAAAACTGCATAGGGAATAAATATTGTATTTAAAGTTATTTTATTCAAACTACATATAGAACTCAGTGCACACACAGTTTACAATAAAAAATGGTTATAAATCAGTAAAAATAAATTTAAAAACTGGGTGTGGTAGTAGCTGTGAGTTGTTCAAAACGTATTCTGAGTTTGAGATTGAAGTATTTTCATTGTTTCGTTGAACATTTAAATAATACAGGTGTGGTGAAGAAATAATGCATTAATGGAGGTAATGAATTATTGGTGTGAGTGTGAATAATCCAGAATTTAAAAATTCAAATCCAGCCTCATTTCTTATGTCTTTACAGATTGAGATGTGAGTCACTCTGAGTGGTTTAACATCAACACAACAATGAGTCAGGTGCTATGAGCCACGTCTGTGTGAAGTGGTAAAATGTCGACTCATGCTGACACCTGAGCTCCTGACCTGCATGGTCTGAAGTTGTCTACACACAAAATAAATGCTTTATTTCCTAAAATACTCTTTGAACGGATAATTAATCTCAGCAGTAACTCTAATTCGTGGTCAGTACAAGCATTAATATTGAATTTATTATAATCATAGTCAGGATTACAGACCATTATATAATTTTACAGTATCAGAAACATGGATGAATCAGTGTCATTAATTTGTGGGGTTTAAGATTCCCACAGTGCTAAGAACAGGACAGTGTGGCAAGCAATTTTACCATTTAAGTGCTTTAAAGACGTGTCGTCAAAGCAGGTATCTTTGGGAAAACATTTGAGATATCTCAAATGTTGATTGTGTGTATATAAATAACATGTACTTTTAAGGCCTCAAAATGTTAAAAATACCACTTAAACTTACTTTTTAAAACATATTTGAACTTTAGCTTTGCCGGTCTCTTTTGTGAACCTTTTAAAATGTAGTTTCAGTTCGTACAGTCTTTAGGAATCTGTATTTTCAGTTCTGACTAATAAGGCTAAGACAAAGAGGAACGCTGTTGTTAATATCCGAAAAATATTTAGAAATGGGAACGTGGTTTCATTATATGTTAAAATGGTTTGCCATACAAGGAGTCATCCATACTAGAAGAGGTTGACGATTTATTTGAAACACTCCTCCTTCGTCCAGCCCCATTACTTTTTTCTGTGTGCACTTGTTCCTTAGATGCTCATTTTTTTATATCTTTTTACGTAGTGACTGAGATATTTTCATCTTTTCTTATCTTTGGCTGGAAGTAAACAGAAACTTTATTTATTGGTTCTCGACGACACGTCCTGTTGCAGTTTTTACTACATCTCCGGGTAAGTTAGAACAGGTTGTCTGACTCTCTCTTTCCTAAAGTTTTGAAAAAGTCACAGGTGGCTAACACAAGTAAGGATGATAAATCCGGCTAGCATAAGGTTTGGAACGTCACGATGTGGGATTTATGAAAGTTGTGTGATAAATTAGACTTTCGTTTGTTTGTTTGTTGTTACTTTATAAAGAGGGAAATGTTAAGCTAATGTTTCGTCTTACATAATTTGTGAAACGGCGGCCGCCTGTTTGAGCTAAAAGCGTAAAGTTTAGCTAAGCCACCTTTGGGCTAAATGTTAGAGTCACCTGCAGCCAGCCACTCCCGTTCTCAAGCTCGTGCTCCAAAACAAGTAGGGCAAGCCGTTGTATTATACAATCAAATAACCGCTTATACTTTTTTTTTTTAAATATTAGATATCATTATTCTTATTGTCACTAATCAGGATTTCACTCAAAAATAAATAGCATAGAAATTACAGACTGTTATGTCAAGTTCACCATAACTGAGATTCTATCAGGAAGGGAAAACACACACATATATAT